TGATGCAAGGCGAGCGGGTGTCCCTCTCACATCTGGCACCAGGGTTTTCCTGTGGGCTTTGCTCTCCGCCCCTTAGAAAGCTACCGCCTGGGTGGCTCAGTGGGTTAAAGCCGCTGCCTTCGGCTCAGGTCATGATCCCAGGGTCCTGGGATCGAGCCCCGCGTCAGGCTCTCTGCTCAGCAGGGAGCCTGCCTTCCCTCCTCTCTCTGCCTGCCTCTCTGCCTACTTGTGATCTCTGTCAAATAAATAAATAAAATCTTTAAAAAAAATTAAAAAATAATAAAAATAATTTAAAAAAAAAGAAAGCTACTGCAGCGCCTTCCAGCCCCCTCTTGACGTCTCCTTACGGTTTGCAAAGTGCATGCTGCTGGGTGCTTGAGGGACGAGTCCCGAATCAGACGTGGGGGAGTTCTCAGGGTCCATGCAGGGGCCGGAGGCAGTGCTCAGGGCCACCTCCTGCATGTTTGGGGAGGAGGAGGTTTTTTTTTTTTTTAAGATTTTATTTATTTATTTGACACAGAGAGATCACAAGTAGGCAGAGAGGCAGGCAGAGAGAGAGGGGGAAGCAGGCTCCCCACTGAGCAAGGAGCCCGATGCGGGGCTCGATCCCAGGGCCCTGGGATCATGACCCGAGCCGAAGGCTGTGGCCTAACTGACTGAGCCACCCAGGCGTCCCGACGAGGAGGTTTTGACACAAGAATGTCCGTCCCCAGGGTTTCCCGCCAGCCAGGGAAAGGACTGGGGGCAAGAACCGGGATTTAAGTGAATTTGTAGAGAGTCTAAAAACTCGGTGTCTCTTGGTTATTTCGAGGTTGAGGGTCATTTTGGGGCTGGGACTCAGCCCGCTGCCCATCCAAGGTATCATGGGAGCCTCACAGCTCCGTTTGGTGGGACCATCCCTGCCCCTCCCCACAGCATACTGATAACGCAGCGGGGCCCAGAGAGTGCAGGGCATTCGCCCAAGGCCACACAGCACAAACCACCTTTTGCTAGGCTTAGAGCACTGTCCCCTCAATCGGGGTTTCCCAAAAGATGGGACTCCCACCGTGATTTGGGGGTGGGGGGCTGATGGAAAGACCCTAGCGTGAGAACGGCCCACTTCCTCTGGCTCACGGCCGTTCTGCTGAAGTCAGGAGAAAGTCTCTCGGGAGCCAGTGGGTCTTTTGCGCCTCTGATGCCTGCTGGTCGCCCTTCTGAACCGAGAGCGAGAGCGTCCGCGTCCTGTTTAAACCCACGGATGAGTATGGTTTTCTAATATCTCATAGATCTAATCAACCTCATTCCCTTTTAAGGCAGCAACATAGTTTTGCCTTTAAGATGAATTTTGTAAAGCTTTATTTGTCGGAAGAGAGAGCGAGCACAAGCAGGGGGAGGGACAGAGGGAGAAGCAGGTTCCCCGCTGCACAGGGAGCCCGCTGCAGGGCTCGAACCCAGCACCCTGAGATCATGACCTGAGCCGAAGGCAGAGGCTTCACCCACAGAGCCCCCCAGGCGCCCCAGCCTTTAAGATCAATTTATGTAAGTTTGCTTTGTTTTGTTTTGTATTTAAAGAGCTGGTGAGGGACACCTGGGTGGCTCATTCAGTTGGGCTGTCCAGCGCTTGGTTTTGATTCAGATCACGATCTCAGGGTCGCGAGATCGCGCCCGGCATGGGGCTCCACGCTCTGCGGAGCATCTGCTTGAGATGCTCTCCCTCCCTCCCCCTGCCCTCCCCATGCTTACTCTCACTCCTGCGCTTGCTCGCTCTCTAAACAAACAAATAAACAAATAAAATCTTTTTAAAAAGCTGATTACAGGGACTTGAACAGATACCCATGCTCCCAGCAGCCCAAGCGTCCACAATGTGTCCATCCTCGTGGTGGAAGAGACACCGGCCGCAGCATGGATGGGCCCTGAAGACGCACGAACCGAGTGATTTGCCGGGAGCCCCCTCCCTGCCCCCTCCGGCAGGCTGTGCTCTCACCCTCTGCTTCTCCAGTGATGTCCCAGCTGGCAGGTTTGGGACCCCTGCCATGATGCCGATGGCGACCACATTCCCCCTGCACCACGGCTGGAAGCAAGTCAGAGAAGCGACCGTGGGGACTGCAGACGCACCAGCTGCTCTTCCCGCCCTGCCCTGGGCTGAGCTGCGTCCGCCCGGGCAGGGGGATGAACTCCAGGGGCAAGCGTGGCTCAGAAGGTGGGTGGCTGAGTTTAAGCCCCCCAGGGCCAGCCGGGAGCTGGACTGGGCTCTCCCCAGCCCCTTCCCTCCCCACACCAGTTCATTTTGGGTAGAAGCAAGAGGAAAATGCATCTTTAGCTCACAGGGTGCCTGCTGGGTTTAATTTTTGTCCTTTTTACCAACTCTCCTGGCACATCAGAGGCCCACAGGGCTTCGGGCGCCGTGCTCTAGTCTCCATGGAGACGGAACCTGTCTCCAGCCCCGCTCCACCAGCCGGTCCTGGGGCTGAGCCGAGAACCAGGGGCTGGGCGGAGAACCAGGGGCTGGGCAGGGCCGAGGGGTGGGATGCTGTAGGAGGACCCCTGACTCACCGCCACCCCTCCCCACCCCACCTCTGCCTCTCAGCCAACCCTGATGTCCTGCCCTTGTCCCTGATGTCCTGCTTCTGTCTGCGGTTGGACAGGGGGCTACTGGTGATGATTATGAAAACAGCCGTTCCCTGAGGGCTGAGAATGTCCCAGGCACTACACGAAGCCTCACCAGTTAGCTCACTGAGTCCATGCCAGGGACAGCCCCCTGTTCACTCCTTGGTGTCACTTGGCAAATAAGGAAACCAAGGCTTAGCCACCCGTAGTGTGAGGGAGATGGTGTGGGATCATGGGAAGTGGGTGGGCTCCAGAGTCAGGGGGCTGCGCTCAAATCCCAACCCTCTCTGTGTGACTGGACCTTTCCGAGCCTCAGTTTCCCCCTCTGTAGAGTGGGTATAGAAACAGTACTCCCCTCTTACGTTTGGTTGCTTTGAGGATTGTGCTGGGAGGGACCAGGGTGAGCTCACGTGGGGAGAAAGCTTAAGCGTGGGGGTGGGGGGGCTCCAAAAAACCCAGTCATCAAGATAAAGATTATTTTAATGCAATTTTAAAAAGTCTACACTGATGACCAGCAAATCCATAATTGAACAAAATGTCAACACTTTAAATAGAACCAGTGTTCCCGAGTTTCCCTTTTGGCTCAGCATGGCATTGTGACGGGTCCTGTCTTTGTTTTAAAACAGAATTTTTTATTTAAAATAAAAATAAAACAAATTAAAAATTAAAACCAGGACCAGTAACAGTGCCGTGCTGAGCAATGGGAAAATTCAGTAATACTAATTCTGTGTTTATTTAAAATTATGGTATCCTGTTCATTGTAATTTTTTGCATTTTGACCTTTTAAATAGCACATTAAGTGCTTTTTATTTATTTTTTTAGAAAGGCTTTTAAAAAAGATTTATGTATTCACTCTAGAGAGAGAGAGAGCTCGCAAGCAGGGGGAGGGGCAGAGGGAGAGAGAATTTCAAGCAGGGTACAGAGCCCGATGTGGGTCTCTATCCCAGGACCCTAAGATCATGACCTGAGCTGAGACCAAGAGTCAGATGCTTAACCAACTGAGCCACCCAGGAGCCCCTGCATTAAGTGTTTTTTAAAGATTTTTTTTTTAAGTAATCTCTACCCCCAACACGGGACTAGAACTCATGATCCCAAGATCAAGCATCCCATGTTTCACCGACCAAACACGTCTGTAAGCATCTGTTTATTTGCACCCACCCAAAGGGTTGTGTGGATTGGATGAGTTCCTACGTGTTGGGCACCTAGCATAAAGCCTGACACCTGGAAAGAGCTATATGGTTAATTAGTAAATAAGTATGTGGCATATTAGAATTAAGTTAAAAGGGTATGCATGCCATGGAGGAAAAAGCAAGCCAGAGAAAGGAGATGATGATGGCTGAATGATTTTAGATAAGACGGATAGAGAAAGTGGTGAGGATCCAACGAGTGAGCCCGCCATGCACCATGCCATGGGAGATGGCATTCCAGGAAAATGGCATAGCCCATGCAAAGGCCCTGGGGCAGACCGTACATGGCGTGCTGGAGGAAGAGAGGAGACCCATGTGACTGGGGCAGAGTAAACGAGGGAAAGAGAGGGAGGTGGGAGAGCAGGGAGTGGAGGGGTCAGGCCCTACAGGGGCTTTGGGGAGGATTTGGGCTTTAATTTGGGGACATCTTTGGAGAGTTTTAAGGTAGGATGACGGGATAGTCTCCGAGCAGTCGGACCCAATGTGTCAATATCCTTTGATATATTTTGAATGGTATGTGCACAGAGCAAGTGTGAGAAAAAATGTTAGTTCTGGTTGCTGTTGTTGGGGACACAGGGTTGCAGTCTCTTTTTGTTTGTTTGTTTTCTGTTTTTGTGTTGAGTGTTTGTGCGCGCACGGGTTTTGCCGCCGAAACCCTGGACGGGGATGGCTGTTTCTATCCAGTGACTTATAAACCTGAAGGTACTGAGCACAGTGCTCGGCACATGGTGTGAGCAGAGGGTGTCTTCTGGGTTTTGTCCCTGATGCTATCAGTACCTCCTATACTGCTACAGGCTCAGAAGGGCCAAGGACGGCCCGGTCAAGGCCAGGCAGGCACCCTGGAGAGCTGCGCGCCACGCTTAGTGGTTTTTCCTGTCCTTGGCCGCGGGAGGAGCGGCGCCCTGGAAGCCAAGTCCGCCCTGCCCTCGGTTTCCCCGCCCGCGCCGGGCGCCCGTCAACCGGCACGCGGGGGGCGGGGGGCGGGGGGCGCCGCCGCGGCGAGGCGCGCTCCGGCCGCCAGGGGCCGCTGCGGAGCCGCCCTTTTGTGGTCCTGATGCTGGAGCGAGCGGGCGCGCGGAGGAGGGAGGAGGGCGCGGGGACGGGGCGGGAGGGAGGCGGGAGGCGGCGTCCGTCGCTCCAGCTGCGAGTCCGCCCGCCGCCCGCCGCCCGCCGCCGCCGCCGCCGCCGCCGGCTCGGTCCCGCGCCCGCCGCCCGCCTGCGCCCGCCATGGCCCGCCTGACGGAGAGCGAGGCGCGCCGGCAGCAGCAGCAGCTCCTGCAGACGCGGCCCTCGCCCGTGGGCAGCAGCGGGCCCGAGCCCCCCGGGGGGCAGCCCGACGGCATGAAGGACCTGGACGCCATCAAGCTCTTCGTGGGCCAGATCCCGCGCAACCTGGACGAGAAGGACCTCAAGCCGCTCTTCGAGCAGTTCGGCCGCATCTACGAGCTCACGGTGCTCAAAGACCCCTACACGGGAATGCACAAAGGTGGGCGCCCCGGCCCCCTCCCCCCCCTCCCCCCCCCCCCCCCCCCCCCCCCCCTCCCTCCCTCCCCACCTTCCGGCATCCTCTCTCTCCCTCTCCCTCTCTCTTTCCTTTTCTCTCCTCTCCCATCTCCCTCTACCTCCCATCCTCTCCCCCCCCAAGCATCCTTCTCTCTCTCTCTGCCTCTCCCTCCCATTCCCCCTGGACCCCCACCCCTTCCTCCCTCCCTCACCCACTCTTTCCTGCCCCTTTGCTGGGGGAGCTGCCTGAACATCGCCCCCCCTCCCCGCCCCCCCACCCCATTCATTCGGCCTCCCCAGGCCCCGTCGGGAAAGTTTGCACCTCTGGACTCCATTGCTTTGGTCATTTTCACAAAGCCAGGCCAGTGGGGCAGGTCCGGCCAGCCGCAGGGAACACGGATGCCCAGGACCCCGGGCTAATCGGTAACTACAAAGAAAGCGGTGTGGGGGTATCAGGGAGCTGAGCGAGGCCGGGGTGGTGGTGGTGGTGGCGCCAGCCTCCCCAGCCTTGGGTGGTTAAAATGCTATGGCGTGCCCTCCCCTCTGCCCATCCTCTCTGTTTGGATCAGTGTCCCCCCTCCATTTCTCTGCCCTCCCTCTCCCTGCCTCCACCTTTGGCTCAAGTTAAAACTGGCCTAGCCTGTTAGCAATGTGTTGAGGTCTGAGGCCAAAGACGATGAGCCTGGACCGTCCATCTGGCAGAGCCCAGATCCCAGGGTGGACGGGGAGGCGTGGGCGACCTGGGAGCCCAGTGGGGGAGGCAGGAGGGGTGGGGAGGCCTGCCCACCTCCCTCCCACCTGATTCTCTCTCTGATGGGATGCTGGGAGGAGGTGCCGGGGGACTGTGGCCCCAGCCCTGGGCTCCAGTCGTGGGCCCGCTGTCTGAATTACGGTAGCTTTGACGGCTCTCCTGTAAAGATGTTGGCGACCGAGGGTGGGGACGGTGTAGGCTTTGTGCTGCGCAGCCCTGACAAGACCCTGGAGGTGCCTGGGGGACAGACCAGGGCCCAGGACCTATTTCAGACCCTGCTTGTCTCCGTCCTCCTCTCTGTTGCAGGCCTGGGAAGCATGAATACATGTTTGTTGGATGGAAGGAAGGAAGGAAGGATGGATGGAGGGATGGATGGATCAGACCGGGCAGGCCATGGGGAGAGTCTGGTGGGATGGAGCGAGGGCCTATCACTGTAGCTAGACCCTCCAGCTGGTATCTTAGGGGAGAAAAGAAGCCCCTCCCATCCCCCACCTTTTTTCAAATCCAACCATCACCAAAAAAAAAAAAAAAAGAAAGAAAAGAAAAGAAAAAAAAAATCAGGCTTGGAAAATCCAATTCTTCTATGTGAACTAGGGGGGTGGGGGGTTTCCATTCATCCATGAGTCACGCTCAGGGGTCCACGGCTGCGTGAGGGCTCTTTCCTCAAGCCCCTACCCTGAGTATGCCTGGAGGGCCCATTTCTAGAAAGATTCTTTTGGAGGCTGGAGGGGGTGTCTGCACGGCCCCCAAATGTTGGGCTGAGAGGCTGTCGGTGAGCTCTGGATCGAGGAAGCCTACAGGGAGCTGGAGATGGCCACGCGGGGTGATCCTTCCTTTCTTTCCCCTTTTCTCATTTTTTAAGTCTCCCCTGGCGCCCCCCTCCCCCCCCTTGGCCAGGAAGAAAAGAGAGACTGTGGCCGGAGCCTCAGTTTCCCCCACTGTCACAGAGCAAGACCCCTTGAATGTGCGGTTATGTTTTTCTGGCTGGAAATTCTTGGATTAGGGACACCTCAGGGGCTTTCTCAGGTGGGGGAAAATTAGGAAACAGTGTGTCACCTGACAGACACCTGCCTGTCACCCTCCACGTCCCAAGGGTCCTGGATGGAGGGCCTGTGGCTTGGGCAGGGGGCCTGTCCTCACATCCACCCCCCGATGCCCGCGGGTCAAGGATGGATCTCTTTCCTGATCCCACCTGTGCTGGGCCTGGCTGGGCCTCGCCTGTGGGAACGGGCTGGGGGGCGGGGCTAGCTGGAGGTGAGGGGTCTCGAGGACCGACAGTGTTTGGGGCTCTGCTGGGGGACCTGTGGCCCGTGGCTGCCCCTCTCTGGGTCTCAGCCAAAGGGAGTGATGAATGGGAAATGGGGGTGATCTGGTTTAGTTCCTGGGGAGACAACAGGGTACAGGACACCTGCTGTCCGTGCTGAGAGTAGTGGGGTTGGGGGTGTGGTCCTGGGGGAGGGGAGAAGGGAGGGGAATCCTCCCCACATCCCTGCCCAGAGCCTTCTGGGCTCCTGAATGCTAGGGGATCCCATGACGAGGGGCAGCAGGGGTCCTGGAGGGCCAGAGAGGGTGAAGTGGGTCACCGTGCCACCGGCTCCCCATGCAGCAAGGGCCACCCAGTGTCGTCCTCGTCACCCTCGTTCTAAGGGTCATCTCATCCTTAACTGTCATACCTGGGGCCGGTTCAGCGCCCGCTGAAGGGGTCACCCCTGAGGTGGGCTGTGAGCATTAGCACCTTTCACGTGGAAGGGAAACTGAGGCTCGGAGGGGCCGGGACTGGGTCTTGAGGACCAAGCGGAGCTGGATCCCCCGCTGTCCCCCACCTGTCTCCCTCCAGCCCAGGGAATACAAAAGTCTGTCTGTGTGATGGAGAGGTGACAGGTTCCCCCAAGCCAAGTCAGGGCCCTCCAAGATGGTGTTGGGGAGGGAAGGGGCTGTGACGGGAGGCAGGATGCCTCAGGGATAGTGTGTTGGGTCCCCTGCTGAGACCAAGGGATGGTCCAGCCAGGCCTGGGGCTCTGGGAATATGGCAGGGGAGGGGGAGGATGGGAAGGACACAGTCCTCAGAAGGAGGGCAGGCCCTTGGGCGCTGGCTTGTTTTGTTTTTAAGAGAGAAAGGGATGGAGACAGAGAGACAGAAAAACAGATTCAGAGACAGAAGAGACAGAAGGAGAGACAGAGACTGAGAGGAACAGGGGAAGGGGAGGACCCCCCCCCACACACACACAGCCAGGGAGAGGCGGGGGAGGCAGGGAGAACCAAGGAGAAGGGGCAGCGTGGAGGGAGCAAGGCCGCTTCTCCACTCAGACCTGTGCCTCACCAAGAGCTCAGGCCAGGAGCAGGGTGTGGGGGGGGGTGGGTGGGTGTTCCCACTGGCCAGTGTCCCCATGTCCCCCCACCAGGTCCCAGCCAGGGGACGGCTCCCTCAGAGGGGGCTCACAGAGGTGCCTGGTGTGGCCACGTGGTCCCTCTCTCCCGAGGGGAGCCAAGCATCAATGCCCACCCTGCCCCGGTGTCCCCCCCACCCCCCCCTCCGCCATAGGGCTCGGCCGAAGGCCCCCCATTTATGGTAATCGTATATGCATTTGCATGTTAATGACAATATTTATCTTAAAGCGGAGGTTGCGAGGAGGGCTGCTGCAGGTGGGGGGGCCGGGTGGAGGCCTGTGGTTTCCATGGGAGCACCAGCTGCTGGGATGGTGGCAGGAGGGGCAGCTGGAGCACACTGAGCTCTGAGGCGTGAGAGCCCAGCCCCGGGAGACGGAGGGCTGCCTGGTGGGGGCGCCGAGGGAGGAGATGGTGAGGTGAGAATGGCCGCATGGGGGTGCTGGGGGCCAGAGTCAGAGCTAGGCATGCCCCGCCTCTGTGCCTCAGTTTCCCCAGCCACCCATTCTTCCCTGATTTAACAGGCTTTTAGGAGGCCCTCGGGGCCTTTCAGGCTGTGAATGTGGCATCACTTCTGCCCTCCTTCAGGCAGAGAGCCTTGACTGAGCACCGACTGTGTGCCGCGTTTGTGGGGACTTGGGAATCTGCGGGAACGGGAATCGGTCTGGGATTCACGATGGAGTGAATGAGACCCATGTCTCCATCAATCCATATAACCAACATTTACTGAGCACCAGGCCCCGTTCTAGACCCAGGATACGATGTCGAACAACACAGAAATGTCCCCCAAGACCTGACCTGCCTTCAAATCCCAGCCTGGCAGGAGGACACAGTGAGGAACGAGGAGGTCAAAGGCATTGCTGTTAGGGTTGTGATGGTGGAAACACACGCCTCCAGGGACAACCCAGAGGAGCCCTGGTTCCTGCAGGTATGGAGACCAGGAGGGCTTCCTGGAGGAGGTGGTCAGTGTGAAAGAGCCGTTCCAAACTTGGCCTTGAGATGAGTCTGGTTTCTGTGCATCTCACCGGCTGACCGTGTTGCCACCTACAGGAATGGGAGAGCTGCGGCGCTTTCCATCTCAGAGGGCGGGGATGGTGAGGACCAGAATGGTAGGCAGTTAAGCCTTTTGGCACCGGGCTGGGCTCATCATGTGACCAAGCTGACATCATGTGAGAAGGATCTGTTGAAGGGGACAGGTGTTCCTGGCACAGAGAATAGCATGTGCAAAGGCCCAGAGCAGTGTTAACTCTGGAAACTTCTGGTGGGAGAGGGGCTGAGGTTTTGCCCTGGTGGGGACAGGAGGAAGGGGTCCTCGGAGTCCCAGTGTCCCCTTCTGACATGGGACTTATCTAGCAGGGCTCTTCCGAGAGGCTCTGGCATTGGGGGTGGGCCCAGGAGCTGTGTCTGGCATGGGCTCATGTCTCTCTCTCTCACCCCTGACCTTGGCAGATGAGAACCTGGCCATCAGGGACGCTCAGGAAGGCCGCACTCACTCAGGTGCCCGTTCGTTCATTCATTCATTCATTCATCCGGCCAACACTTCCCGAAAACCTCCGGGGCCTTGTCTCGTCCTGGGTGAGGCAGGATGAAGGCCCTCTAACGCCAGGACAGAGCTGGCCGTGAGCGTCTAGAGCCGATGGTCAGGGCCAGGGCAGAGACAGGGAAGCAGCGTGGGGGGAACGGGACAGGGAATCGGGGGCTCTGCCTGTGGACTCCGGCTGCACAGAGGAGGGCTTTAGGGTCTTTGAAAGACGAATAGGAGTTGGTGCGGTGGGGAAACATCTCATTTGTTCATTCACAGAAGCGCTTACTGTGTCCCAGGCCCAGCGATGCGTGTGAGACACAGC